TTGTATATTTATCTATGCCTCTTTATCTCTTGGATCAAACTAAACTTCAATGTGAACAAAGCACAATCAAATTATGTTAGTCAAAAGTTATTTCCAAATATAATTTCATCGATGTTTTATTCACTTGACGTCTGGCAGAAAGTTGTTGCATAGATCGACTCTTTTTGATGCTGAAGAAACATCACATATTCATCTTTAGGAAATCTCAAAGTTATAAGTGACTCTGGCACGGTTTTTTTCTCTCTGAGACTGTCAAAGATAATGGGAAATCAAAGAAAAGCTAGTTGTTCTTAATGTTACTACATTTAACGAATTAATCTTACTGTGTAAGGCCGACCGGTTACAACTCTGAAAGAAAGTCGGAGTTAAGTTCAATAAAGAAGAAATCTTTCGAAGTCGGAGTCAAGTTTCAAAATTCGCTCGCCAAATAACTTTCTATTCCAACAACTATTGCTGGAATAGAACGTCAGTTTAATATTTACAAGATTCGACAGAAGAACCTGTTTAGATCCTAAATGATAGTATAAAATGCTTTGCACTCGTGCAATTGCAAAATTCGATATTCGAATGTAAATTTTTTCCCTCCCATTGTTATCATTCTTTTTTATTTCCTTGTATATTCTCTTCAGGGTTGCTTGATCTCTGAAAAAAAGGAAAATTTCTTTGAATACTCTCGGATGCTCTGGTTTTTTTTCTCAATTCTGAACTAGTTTATTTTTGTAAGAATAAAGTTCGAATTTAGTAGAAGATTTCAATACTAAATGTCTTTTATGATTTTGCATTAACTAAACAATATATTTATCGAATTATGTTTCTTCACAACAATAGGATATCTATGAAAATAAAATACTAGTAACACATATGCTACCAGTATATTAACATACTAGTCAATTATTTACAAAAAAATAAATGCCTTTTCTAAATTATTTCTGATTTTAAACAAAAATTTTTTTGAATTTCAAGTTTTTGATCTGACAATTCTAGTTCTCCATGAACTAGAGTGAGGTGTAGGTGTGAGTGTGGGTCTCTAATATGTGTTACACCCACACCCATACAAAATCGTTCAACTTTTTCTCAAAGATTCTCAAACAAAATGAGATTTCGAGAATTATGAGTCTTCTTTTTACAAACTCGTAAGTTTTGAAACTTCGAATCAGAGAGAAGATCAACACACACCTATAGCAAACGAAAATGTGCAAATATTCTTTCATTATAACAGAAAGAAATTTAAGGGATTTGACATTCATCCACAGTATGTCATATAGGGTGTCCGGAAAGTCACTAGAGTTAGAAAAAATTGAATATCTCCGCTACGGCTCGAGCAAACGGGCTGATCTTTTTCCCAATAATAGAGACATGTTCATACTTCAAATCCATACGGACAAGGTGAGCGAGAGCCTTTGTTAAATACCATCAATAACCTTAACAAAAAAACATTTTACTTTTTTACAGATAGGAAAAAAAACAATATACAGAGTGGCGCAAAAGTCACTTTGCCGAGAAAAAATTGAATATCTTCACTACGGCTGAAGCAAACGAGCTGATTCTTTTATCAATGATAGAGGCATGTGCAAGCTTTGTATTCATAAAGACATGCCTAGAGAGACTCTTTGTTAAGTCTATAGTTTTTTCCTATCTGTAAAAAAGTAAAAAGTTTTTTGTTAAGGTCATTGATGGTATTTAACAAAGGCTCTCGCTAACCTTGTCCGTATGGATTTGAAGTATGAACATGTCTCTGTTATTGGTAAAAAGATCAGCCTGTTTGCTCGAGACGTAGCGGAGATATTCAATTTTTTCTAACTCTAATGGCTTTCCGGACACCCTATAGTTGTTGATTTTAACAATGATAGACAATTAGAATTTATCGTAATTGGTTACACTCTAACGTCAAAATTTAGTCACAGAGCGATTGCACTTTTTTTGAAATCAAAATATAGGCTAGAAGATTTCCGAGAGTCGCAAATTCTAATCAGGGGTCAGATTTTCATTTTATTTATTATGAATTATTAATAATTTATAATAAAAATCTGACCTCAAATTGGAGTTCTTCATCTATGATTACTTTTCGGTCAAGTTTAATGAGAACATTTTTACTTTAAACATACTTATCACAGCGTCCTCATCCGCATATTGTAATGTATGCGTGTGTAATTTACATCAATCAATGTGAAATGTATTTAAAGTAAAAATAAAATTCAACTTCAAAGATTAATCAACTGAGAACAAATAATAAGTCATTCTATCGAAAATATCAAAAGAGAAAACATATTCTAAGTGAAAAACAATTCAAACTTATATGTCTTAATAAATTTATGACAAAATATTTGTCTAGTTTAATCTTTAAACAAAAAATATTGAAGATTATATTTATATACTGTTTATAAAATTTGAATAAAAACAATTTAGAAATTTCTTGGTTTAATACGAGTCAATAGTCCATATTTAGGCTTGATTGTTATACCTTTTGTTTCAGGTACAATATTTTGACCTGATACAAGTTCAAATTCACAACGTTGTACGAATAGAGCTAACATAACTTTAGCTTCAAGTATTGCAAAGTTTTGTCCAATACAATTTCGTGGACCTGCAGCAAAAGGAAGATAAGCATATGAATGTGCTAATTTTGGTTTGAGTCCTGTAACTGAATCACGCATCCATCGTTTATAGTCAAATTTGAGTGCCTGTGGCCAATATTCTTCGCGACGATGAAGAGCATAAGTATGTATCACGATCATAGCACCGACAGGAATATGAATTTCATCTTTGCTACTATTACTACCAATAACATGTTCTTTAGTAGATTCACGAACGAAAAATGCAGCTGGTGGATAAAGACGAAGAGTTTCATAAATAACAGCTTCGATTACTTGAAGATGAGGCATATGTTCAAAAGTAGGAACTGTTCCATTAGGCAAAACACGATCAACTTCTTCGCGACATGCTTGTAAAATATCATTATGTGTCATTAAAATATAAAAAATCCATGTCATTAAAGTTCCTGTTGTTTCATGACCAGCAAGTACAAATGTAAGTGCTTCATCTTTTATTTGTTGATCAGAAAATCCTTCTCCATTATCATCGATAGCTGATAAAAGAAGATCAAGAATATCTTGATTCGAACAAAGACTCATTGATTTTCTACTTCGACGATCAACAATAGCTTGATCAACAAATTCATTTAATTTTTTTGCACCATTATCTACAATATTTTTACCCCAAAATGGTAATTCAGCAAGAAATTTAATTTGATTGATCATATGAAGAGTTCGATGAGCAATAACATCTTTTACTTCATTAAATGAATAACACATAATTTCTTTAGCATGAGGTATTGTTTCAAAACTTTGACCAAAAGCACTTGATGCAATAATTGAAAATGTTAATGCATTACATTCAATATCAAGATCAATTTCATTCTTTAATGAAGAAGTTAATAAAAGAGATGTAATTGCTTTTATTGTTTCATTTGACATAATTGGTATCATAGATTGTATATTAACAAAATGAAAAGCTGGATTAAGCATTTTTCGTGCTCGTTCATGTTCTTCACCTTCACTAACTAAAAGATTATGAATACCAATTAATGGTTTTACAATATTAATAAGATCAGATGGTTTTCTATAATTATCAGCTTTTGATCTACCTAATACATCAGCTATTAATTCAGGTTCTAATAGTATCAAACGTGTCAAAGGACCAAAACCAAATAAATATCGAGAACCATTTTTTTGTGAAAGTTCATGAAAATATTCTACTCCTTTATTTTCTTTACTAGCACGCATCATATCAAATAATTGACCAACCAATGGAATAAATGGTTCACCGGGAATACCTTGTGCTTTAAATATATTATATAAACGTTTTTGAGGATAAATCAATTTAAAATAAATAACTGCAATTAATGCAAGAATACATCCAAAAATAATATATATGATAGATAGTAAAATCATTGTGTTATTGATGATAAACAAAATGTTGATTATAATCAGGAATTAAACTATAAAAAAACAAAAACATGAAAGTTATATAGTTGATTAACATAATAATAAAATGTTAACTTACTTTACAATTCTTTGCGTTTTACCTTGTGTTGAATAAAACATTGTGTCAACCATAGAGTTTAAATAGTTGTAGAAAAGCAAAAAAAAAAGTACGTACGAAAGTATTCGGGTCAAAATACTTTCGTTCGTACCTTGACGTAGATATGATGACTAATATATTTTTTTTTTGTTCTTTATTTTTCTACGCTAGTATAATGTTTGAATAAGAACCGGAGAATGGCATAAATATAAAGTATTTTTATTCGAAATAAAAATGAAGAAACATATAAATTTTATTATATGAAGAAAAATTTTCGAGTAGGAAAGATGTCATTACTATCAATATCGTGATAATTTGATAGTCTATGGCAAAATCAATTTATAAAAAGATGTTATTTTTCTTTTCTAATAGATAAACGTGAATCTCAATGTAATAGTCATAATCCATGAAAATCATCAAAATTATAACAGATTTGATATTGACACCAGGGTCGCCACCTGTTCCGCTTTTTCACCTTTTTTCCCGCTGTTCCGCATTTTTATATGGGAAACTTAAAATTTGTCCTTTATTTAAAAATTTGTGGTAATAAAATTCATTACGATTCTGTTCACTATGTTAGCTGTAGTGATCTGCATCGAAAGCAATTTCGAAGTTGTTTCGAAGTCAATTAAGTATCTTGCCAATAATTCATTTTGAACATCAGAATCTTTGTGCTTTTGTAGACTTTGCTTTTTGATTGATTTTCTACAGGCTGGTGTATTTTGGAGGTTCAATCAACATCACATTGAGGCCTACGTTTACAAAGAGAAAGTCGGAATAAACTTTGATTCCGAGTTTTTCGACTCCGATTTCCTCTTTGGATCGATTGCCTTCAATGTGACGTTGATTGGACCTCCAAGATACATCCGATTGTAAGAAATCGACCAAAGAGCAAAGCCTACAACGCATAAAGATTTTAATGTTCAAATGAATTATTCGCAAGAAATTTATATGACTCCGAAACTAACTCCGATGCAGATCTCTAGTTAGCTGTCATTTACAGTCTATTATTTTCTATATGATGCATTCTATGTTCTATTTCGAAAAGCAGTGCTACTACCGTAATTGTTTTTTTTCGGAACCGATACATATATCCGATTATTACGGCAATTGAATGTCAGTCGATTCAATCGTTGCAGAAATACTTCATTGTCACACGAACATGCATATAGTTCCATGGCTTCAAAAGGAGTTTCTAAGCGAAACTCATTGGATCAGTACACGTAACTGATTTGAAAAAAAATCATGTGCTTCATAAAATATCCATCTTCGTTATGTATTTCTCATTGTGTTTTGGAACTTTCAGAATGAAGAAGTATCACAGAAAGAAGCAAAAAGTTATTGAAACCCATAGCAATGTCAAAGTTTCACAAAAAGCAGCTTCCCACAATTTTTCCGTTTTTTGTACTTTTTCTTTCCGCTTTTCTAACTGAACTTTCCGCTTTTTTGACTTGACCAGGTGGCATCCCTGATTGACAAGTATTCGAATATTAAAATCATATATAAGCAATGAGGGATACCGATCAAATTCTTGAATTAAAAATAAATGAACTTGATATTTAAATTCATTTAACACCCGAAAATCATAATATTATCGGGTTGAATTATACGAATATTTAATAGGCTCATATTCATCGTGAAAAGTTTCATAAGATTCTGTATCTTTACAAATAGGCGACTTTCACTATGGATTATCATTGTGAATTCAATCGGATATTTTTTTTTGTTTCTTGCATAAATTTATAGTGAAAAACGAATATACAAATATCTCAAAGTCCTGACTTTTGACGATATCGTCAAAAACATATTGATATCTTTTAAAGTCTCCCCTCAACAATCGATCTCAGGCCAAGAATATGCGAATGGCATGGTATTTTCAGGATATGTTAGAACTGGTATGGGATTGCTGTGGTAAAATTTCCAGCCCTGTACCATGATGTTTGACAGACATATTGGTCAAAAAGTAGCGAATTTCTCCTCCAAAAATTCTTTGTGATCTTCAGTCTATACATTTAATTTTTTTTTTGTTCTTCAAGAGCATGTCAGAATGTAGTACCTATGAGAGACATTTTTTTTTAAAACTCTTACTTCTTAAGGGAATCGAAAGTTCAATGACCCAAAAAAACTTCCTAAAAATGGCATTCTAATTATATAAATGTTTATATATATATATATAATAAAAATAAAGCTTAATAAAAAAACTGGCTCTCATAGATACTGCAGGTTTACATGCTCTTTCAAACAAAACAAAAAATATTTTACTTTATATCACGTTGTGGTAGAGTACCGGTGGAGATGCGTCATCAAACCCACGTTCTGAGAAAAACGAAAAATGATTTTTTGGTTTTTTCTAAAAAATGGCTTGCTTTTCGGATGATAGGTTGGGTGAAGAAAATCTTCCAAAATTTTTGTCGCGTATGAGAGAGCATGTGAAGGACTATTCCCTCATGAATTTATCTCAATTTCGATGATTCTGGCAAAAGGTGACGTTTTTTAGGATAGAACCTTAATAGATATATTAATCTTAATGAAAATGTCATTTCCTTATATTCAATATTTCTTTCAAAATAAATATGTTAAAATATTTCCAGAGCTTTGACTAAAATGGAAAATACAATGCGCTCTTTTTCTATTGATTTTATTGCTTTTGTTTTGTTTTTTTTGTTCTCTTCTGATTTCTTTTAAACTATACAAAAGATAAAATGACAAAAAATGATAGTAAATCAATGATATCAACGAAAGTACTTATTGATTGTCTTAAACATTTTCAAAAACATCCAGAACAATTTCCGTTTGATTTACGTGCAAAATTTTGTAATTGTACTAAATCTAAACATTTGAAATATTCAAAAAATCAACATAAAATAAATACAAAGAAAATTATTCATCAACAATCAAATGAATTTCTATCAAGAGAAAATAAATCAATAAATAATTTAAAATATTTAACAACTATTACTGAACAATTAAAAGATATATTACAACAAAAATTAAAATCACAATTAATATTAAATGATAATCAAATATTATCAAATTATAAAAGACAAGATCAAAATAATGATATTATAAAAACAATTAATTATCTAATTCATCATCCAGATAAAATTCTAATAAAAGCTATAAATCGTTTATGTAAAATTGCAACTAGTCATTCTATTGATCAATGTAAATCAAAAAATTCAACTCGTAAGATTTATAAACATATTAATTAATAAAAGATTATTCTGTGATTGAATCTTTTTGTTTATTTAAATATAAAATAATAAAAAAAAAAGAAGATGATCAAGACTCAACAATCACTTCTGACACACTTCATAATAGAAGTCATACAAAAAGAAATAATTATAAATCGTCGAATATTTACAAAAATCATTTCTCTCGAAAATCTCATAATACAACTAAACAATCGTATATTCATCCTATAAAATTGCCAATAGCTGCACATACTAAATGTATATAGAATATAAAAATCTATTAAAAATTTCCTTTTTTTATTTTCTAATAGCTATCTCTCAAAGAACATCGATTAGTTCAATAAGTAAGAATTCAAATATTATCTAAAAAAAAAAATATTTATCAATTTTCACATTTTCAGCATCTTCAACATCATGTAGTCATCATTCAAAAACAAAAAAACATAAATATAATACATCGAAAAAAAGATATCATTCATCTCATAGATATTTTTCAAAAGCATCTATATCTACTAGTCGATCATATTCACAAAATCATAGAAGGAAACAAAATTTTAAACGAACAAGATCAAAATCATCATTTAGAAATAGAAAGAAAAATTTTCATAGATCCAAAGAATATTTACCATGTAAGTCTATTTTTCATTTATATATTTTAGCGTCCAACAAGAATTCATTGAACGTAATCTCAGTTTAGACTCTAATATATATTAGGGCTCGAAACGGGCTTCATTTTTATGGTCCAGCCCGGCCCGTTCTAATTTTAGTGCAGCCCGGCCTGAGCCCGGCCCGATGAAGATTTTTTTTACGGACATTTTTCCATGCCAGAATTCGAAAATCACATGCATGATTAACAATGTCTTTAAGAGTATATTGTCCGAATGTTATAGGGAATTTTTTAGTCAGATTGCTGAGACAGAAATAAAATCAATATGGGATGAATCGAGCTGCTTTTTGAGTCAAATGAACAAACAAAAGATGTTCGAACATTTTTAAAGTCAACAACGATTGTTTTGTGTAACTGAATGTCCTTCAGCACTGTTTCTCTAGTAAGAAAAAGCACGAAAAGAGTAGTATATTACTAGTTGAAAGTTTTTGCGATGAGAATCATTCGATGGTAGAGTGCGCAGTAAAAAATACTGTATGAAAAATAATTATAAATGTCCGCAGTAATAAGTTCTAGAAAATTTCTAACTCCGCTTTAATATGTATCTGCCAAACTTGCCATTGCTATCACAAGTTTGACATGAATATATAAAAAATAAGTATTTTTCAGTAATTTGAATTGTATATGACAGATATAAAATACATTAAATTTAAATAAGACGCCGGATCGGGCGGCCCGTTTCGAGGCCTGATATATATTTTGTATCTTAATATAATATAGCAAACCTAATCGGACAAGTTGATGTATCTGATGGTTTTAATCGAAAAGTATCTTTACAAACGAATGAACAACAAATGTTTTCAGAACGTAAGATGATTTTTCTATATCTATTACTTTAAAATCCTATTTGTTTGTTAACTATTCTACAACCAATATTAATAAAAGAAAAATTTATTAAACATCAACCAATTCCTTTGATAATGTTTCATTTATGTTGTCCTCCGGATATGATTCCATTGACATCAAAAGTTGCTACACGACTTGGTATTAATATCAATATGATAAATCAACAATCACAGAATAAATTAAATGGTAAATTTTTATTCTATGTTCATTAAATGAAATCGAAATGAACAAAAAACAGAATATTTTTTGTAATTTTAGATATGATTATCAATAATACAACATCTTCAATTATTAAGAATACAAATTGATTGAATATATGTTGTTATATCCTTTTTGTACATTGATATTTAAAATAAAAAATAAAACTTTGTTAGTTTTTAGAACTGATTTAAATAAAAAATATATTCTCGTCGTTCTGTTTTTTGTTAAGATCGAATTCGAAAGTACAGTTTCTTGAATTTATATACAATTATACGAGTCGAAAGGTCAATAAGAGTTTTAACCGACTTATCAATTATTCAGCATATGAAATCATCAACTATTGTCCTCTTAAGAAATTTCTATTGTCAGCTTCAGCTATAATGATGTGACTATGAGATTTTCAGCCTCTTTTTATAGTAGTCTATAGCCAATAGTGTCCTGTAGCAAATATTGAAATATAACAAAAATTCTCTTCACAAGAAATGTTTGAATAAATAACTTATCATTCTGAATCTGACACCAAAAGACTACAAATTTCGTTCATTATAAAATTTTATTCATACTATATTTGGATTGTATAGAAAAATATATTATTAGTTACTTCAATGAATTATTGATTCAAAATTCTAGATAACATAAATGAAGAAAGTAACAAAATGAAAAAAATTTTCTTCTTAGATTTTCTTTTAACAAAAAAGAAAAAAGTAAGCAGATTTTATTCATAAAACTCTCATATTCAAATAGAATGAGTCAAAAGATACACTGTAACAAACCGTCAATCACAATGCTAATGCAATAAGACTAATAGCACAAACACAGAAGATCATATGTAGTAGGGTAGTGCCTTACGATCTTCAGAGAAATTCATGCAATAGTGTTAATAATGGTAATTATTACGTCTTTCTGTCTTCTAATACTAGGGCAGTGCTGCCGCTACCGTAACGAGGTCATCATCGGGGAAGACATTTCAAAAATATTAGTACGACAGCAGCAGCTTCTTTTTTAAGAAGATTGTAAAATTGCATGAGTGTGCATTCGATTTAGGAAGCTGCAGATCCACGTTTTTGTGGACCCGGACCTGATCGAATCTAAGTCCAAACCTTTTCCACCAATATCTGGCACTCTCTGTGTACATAAACAAGTCAAGGATCAAAATTTGAGTTATTTATTCGCTACTCTGAGAAAAAAAATTCAACGTACAGTTATATCTTGTTACTGTATTTCTCATGTGAGGAATTGTGGTCCACAAAAATGTATAATCGGGCTCGACAAAAAATAAAATTGTGAATCCGAGTCTGGAAGGATCTGCAGCTTTCTATCAGATTTCAGCGGCCCAGCAGCAGCAGCAGATTTCAAGCCATGATGAATATCCTTGGTTATGCCAGTAAATAAAACTGTTGTTCCATGCAGATGATTTCATAACAAAGAACAGAAAAAAATTTCTTTACTTAAATGTCAGCAAGTGAATCGATTTATTTCCTCATAAATGTAATTCGTATAGAATTAGATGTAATATTTTCAATGTTGTATTATTATTTAATGTATTAGCTAAAAGTTCTATATACTTTGACATGTTATATTATATTATATCCAAATTTAAGTTGAATATATTTTTTCTTTACTATAGCTAAATGAATAACAATCAACATATCATAATCACTTATTTATTGATTTGATAAATCCACATTTAATGAATTACATTTGTCTACTATATTCTTTCAATATTTAATTTTTACGAGACGATTTATTTAATGTTTAAAAATTTTAATTTACAAAAATTATTAAATTAAAATAATAGCAAACATAATGTTTTTTGCTGACAATGTGCAAAGTAAAAGGAAGTTTTTTCGACTATGAAAAAGTAAGAAGAAAAGAATGTAATTAGTCTATTTTGTACAACATTCGACGTTCTATCAAAATATATAATTGATTTAAATTTCATTTTTTCTCCGTGCACCTTTATCCGACCTTCATAATGTTTGATAAGCATTTGCATGTTTTCGTGTGGATTTTAGCTCGAGCTGGAGGTACACAAACTATATGATAAGAAAGCGAGTTCTTTGAATAACAAACTCAATGAGAATTTAGTTCAAATATTTATAGTAGATGCAAAAAAAAAACCAAATTCTATTGATGATAAAAATTCTAGCTCTTGACCTTGTACGATTCAGAAGAAATTCATATAATACTACAAAATGTAGAGTGAAGATTTTTTAGTAAAACGTATTCGAGAATATTCTTTTCGAATACTATTTAAATGAACAGAATATGGCAAGCAAATTTGAGTGTGTTGTGGCTTTTTTCTGACTTGTTGTCCTTCATACAGACCGGAAAAATGATCAGAATCGATTCTTTACTAGAAATTTGCCAGTTTTTAAAGTTCAAATAACAAGAAAATAAATTGATTAAACGACGTTTTCTATCGATAGATGACAATAAAAATCGGGTTTTAAAATCTTGTTTGTATGTAATATTTCGAGATAAAATCATGAATTTTTTTTTATGGTAGTCAAAATTTATTAGAGTAGCCTAATCTGAAGTGGTTCCAGTAGAATTTTATTATTTGGTCCTATACATCTCTAATCGCAATAGACATTATTGACATACGATCAAAGACTGTTTATCAATATAAATTTTCGTGATAATATGTAAACTGCTTTCTTATTGTGTTTCTAGAGGATTAGATAAAAAGATGATGATGAAGAATTATGTCCCACAATAAATAGAATAAAACAATTTCTCTTTTTTTCTCATAAACAAGTTTGTCATTTATCCATTAAAATTGATCTCAGCCCAAGGATATCCAAACAGGCTGATATTTAGAAGATATGTTGGACCTATGATAGGATGCATGTGATAAAAGTTTCAACCTTCTATCATGACGTATAATGGAGATACGGACCGAATAAGGGTCAAACAATGTCTTATCGCATCTCAAAAAGTTCTCAGTGACTCTTCAATATATATACTTGATTTTTTTTTGTTTGAAAGAGCATGTCCGGATGCAGTCCCTATGAGGGCCCTTTTTTTTTTAATCTTATCTTTTAAGGGGAAAAGGATCCTGACAAGTTCGGTTACTAAAAAAATGACGCTCTAATTAAGAAGGCGCTTTTCAATATAATAAAAGCAAAGCCTATTTAAAAAAAAGAGCTCTCATAGGCACTGCAGTTTTTGATGCTCTTGAAGAACAAAAAAAAATATTCGACTTTATATCGTATTGTAGTCGACTTTCGCTAGAGATGCGTCGTGCAACCATCATTTTGAGAAAAACTCAAAAAAAAAAATTTTTTTATGGAAAAAAGACTATTTTCTACAAAATCCTCTTCTTTTTAAAAAAATTGGTACGTGATGACGACAGTACACTTTTTTGCGAAAATCTATTTTTTTGAAGGACCAAACCTCAAAATCATGATGATTTTTAATGTTCAGACCTCATAGTATTCAGCTATGCCTTTCTCTCAGATTTCGTTTTTCTGACGAAATTTGATATTTTTTGAGGGTGGGGGGGGGGGGGGGGGGCCTTAATAGAATCAGCTCGTTGAGTTTTATCCGCCGATACGATCAGTTCCCGTTTTGGGGGTGTTCGTATTTTTTGGAACCTAAACGATTCGATCTGTCTCTTTTTTTTTATTATTATAAATACAAAACAAAAATTAAAAAAAGTTTTATGACAAAAAACAACCATTTTCAGTTGTATTTGTATAAAGTTTAAAACCATTTTTTTCATTAGTTATTTGTCGAAGACGTTGATTATTTATTTCTGTTATATTACAATATTTAATATCAAGTTCTTTTAATATTTTATTATGTTTAAGCATAATAATTAATGAATCAACACTTAAATCTGTTATTAAACTATTTGATGATAATGATAATATTTCAAGTGAATTATTATGTAAAGCTAAAATATTCGATAATAAATGTACACCATGATTACTTATATTATTACGATTTAACATTAAATGTGTTAATGTTCGATTTATTTTAAGCATATTAGATATATATAATATACCTTTATCAGATATATTATTTGAACCTAGATGAAGTTTTTTAAGTATTGTTTTATTTGTTGAAAGAATATCCATAAGAATTTTAACACCAATATCAGATATATAATTATCAAATAAATCTAATTCTATTAATATTAAATTATTATATAATGCATCAGATAATATTGACATACTATCATTTGAAAATTTATTTCCAGTTAAATAAAGTCCTGTACATTTTTTATCCATTAATGCTCGTTGAACAATAATTGGCATATCTTGATCAATTAATTCACGTACAGATAAATCAATAATTGAATTTGATTTACATACAGTTAATAAATCTTCCAAATGAGAATTATGATATGTTGATGATGATCCCTAGAAATGAACAATTATTAAAATTTAATAGAAATTTTTATCTAGTATAAGGATATTTCTCTAGGTCTTAGACTTTTCTATTACTCATCAAATGAATATCGTCTCGATTGAAAAACAATATGATATCTGAAGAGATTCTCTGAGAAGAAATTTTTCTTTTTTTTTGTCTTCAAATGAAAGAAGATACATATTTCTACTAAGAATAATCGTCCAATAATCATATATTGAGTATGCTTATTGAAGAATATGCTACTAAAATTTATTGAATCCCAAACTTTAATCGATCAATCATTCAAATAGTGTGTCCCGCAGCTCTGACAAATAATTTTCAGCAAAAATCTTCCAGTAGTCATCGACTCTTTCCAATCTTGGCATATCCTTGAAATCTGTTAAATAATTACAGAATAGGTTTTTTATTTTTGACATATTCAAAGACTCATTTAATCTTACTATTAATTTTAATACAACTGAACGGAATGATGCATCACGAATAGATATACTAATTGAAGGTTTTCGTTGATTAAATGATACAGTAATTGATGAGGTACGATCAGTATTTATTGATGGTGATATTGGAAATGAATCAATTTCTTTTACTTGAATAATATGAAGACCATTATTAGAATCGATTGACGATATAACTTTATAACGTTGTGCTGATAATAAAAGAATTTCATCAGTTGTTTTATGAAATGAATGATTATGAATATCTTTTCCTGATTTACATTCAATTCTAAATCGTGTTCGTTGATTTGTTTTATCAAAATATTGTTCATTTTCACATATTTCAATTGATTGAGTACATATTGAAAATCCCCACCATATAAATGTTTTACCTTGTAAATATTCATTACTTAAATCAATTTGAATACCACGATAAACATAACAATGAATTGATGGAAGTTTTGATAATGATTTCATAAATAATTTTAAATAAAGATGCCATGGTTTTAATCTATCTCGATTTTCATCACGTAATGTTCGATTAAGAATAAGATTAAATGAACATTCTTTTGGTTCCCATTCCATTGAATATAACATAATAGATGCTGATTCATTTATTGTTAAATCATCTTTGATTTCTTGACAATTTTCTTTTACAACACATAACATTTGTTTAACATCAGGTACAATAGATAATAATGGTTCAATTGCATCTTCTAATTCAACTAATGGTATTTGTTCATAAATATTAATCGGTGTCAATGGTAATAATGGTTCTTCAGCTACATCAGAATAACGTATTAGGTTTTTTAATTCAACATCATTTATATGTGTTGTGGCCATTATCTACATAAACAACAAATGTTTGTTAACAATGCCTTTCATTAAAAATAAAATATTCTTTGTTCTTATCAAACGAGCATAGATATTTTCTATATTTAAAGTCTATTTACTGTCTTATCAGTGAATGAATTACGACACTTTTTCTTTTGAAGTCAAATTATTTTTCTGTTTTAAAACTAAAGGTTAACGATGCAATTACCTTTTACAGTGAAATATAGTAGTACTAAACAATAATTAAGAGAGTGTCCATGAAAGGATCGAATGTACAAAGCATTCGATAAGAAAATTGTTTTTTAATTATTTTTTTTTTTGCTCATTCAATACATCGATATCTAAAACTATCGACCACAAAAATTTTAGGTTCTAATACTTTTTCTTTGAAAAGTTAGTCAATATCAACTTTTGGCGATATCATATCTTGTTAAGAAAAAACGTTTTGATAAAAGCTGTACCAACTTGTATTTCAATAGATCATTGAAATTTTTCATGGTATATACCAAAAGATAGAAAATTAAAAGCTGAACAAAATGAACTATATGAATGTAATATAATATTTAACAAGTCATGTTTTATAAAGCCAATATGAGTCAAAAGGGATCTTTTTGATCAGTTCAAATCTCTACAAAATAGTATTTTCAGTGCAAAATGGGGCTTAAACCTACTAATTTTTGATGGTTATTTAATCGAAAGTGACCATTTTTAATGATTTTCATTGTCATGAAAAAATGTTAAAGCAAAATAAATACAATATTTGGACTCAATGTCAAAAGTTGTATCTAATCATATACTTTTCAGCGAATTTTTTTTCTATCCAAAACTGGCCTGTGGTCACCTACAATTATATTTAAGAGAAACTTTTCTTCCTGATCCCCCACAGGTCAGTTTTGGATAGAAAAAAAAAATTTTCGCTGAAAAGTATATGATTAGATACAGCTTTTGACATTGAGTCCAAATATTGTATTTATTTTGCTTTAACATTTTGTCATGACAATAAAAATTGTTAAAAACTGTTCATTTTCTATTAAATAATCATAAAAAATTAGAAGGTTTAAGCTCCATTTTGCACTGAACATATTATTTTGTAGAGATTTGAACTGATCAAAAAGATCCCTTTTATCGGACATTTTTTCTCAACAAGATATGATATTGCCAAAAGTTGATATTGACTAACTTTTCAAAGGAAAGGTATTGAAACCTAAAATTTTTGTGGTCGATAATTTTAGACATCGATACGTTGAATAAGCAAAAACAAACAATTTTTATCGAGTGTCTCGTATATTGGATTGATACTCCATCAGCTCAAGGACTTTCTTTTAACGTAGACTATATTCAAGATCGTCATTGCAGATATGCAATTAAGGTCACCGTAAACGTCTGAATATTAGTCTAGGTTGTAATCGAAGATAACCGAATGTTGGATCTACATTTTACTGATTTACCGATTCGGAATTACAGATAATTTTCAGTATGTGTTATTAATAATGAATGGTATTTTATATTGATAAAGAATTAAAACGATGAACAATTATATTCGAAAAGTACTTAGATGCATACTGTATACTTTTGAAACATAAATGCTTCGGAACAAAAAAAAAAAACAGATCCGAAAATTGCCATACTGAAAAATAACTATATTGAATTTTAATAAGAAAAATTATCTTACTTTATGATATGAAACTCTCTCAAACATGTATTTTATTCAGTAGTAATGTGATATAATATAGGCATAGTATGTTGACCTATTGCCTATATTTACACATTTTCTAAATTGATAACTCAAGATGTATATGAAGACAAGCATTCTGAAATAATGACTATATCAACAATTTGAACTTTGATCCGTGATTTTTTATTATGAATGAAGTTTTCTGTATCTTTTTTTTT